TATGTGCCGATAAATAAGATTAAAATGATCTGAACTTTTTCCTGGAGACATAAAGAACTTTTTTTCCCCCATCAAGGGAAGACTTGGCACGCTCACGGTGATCAATTTTAATTCCAGCGGCATCCTCCAAGCAAAAAACGTTTAAACTTTTTTAGAAAACGAACAAAACGTTTAAGCAATCTACTTTCCGACCACATCCTCTGTCTCCTCTTTGTTTTTTAGGCCAGGCTCGAAAAGGGTTGGTAGGATTCAGCGCTTCAATCATGCCACCTAAATATTTTGATGCATTGAATTAAATGCAGTTATTATTGCCGATTGAGGTATTTTCTAGTAGATGCCACTATCTAGTAGAATCTAGTAGATTTTATGTGTCATGGCGCGGATGGAGAATAATCGTATTTATTGATGTTTTTTAGACGTTAGAGTCAGAAAAAAATGCTCCCTATTTTGTTTGTTCCAAATTGTATCCGCCCATGAAGTGCTCCATAAGAAAAAAATTGCATAAAGCTCAAACTGAGACTTCAATAAACTAGAAATGGAATAAAATACAGCTGTAAATTCCCGTTTTTGATTATTTATTTTATTAAGAGAATTTCTATACACGTCCTTTGATAGTACAACGAATAAAAATTATGTTCGACGTCTCAACCATATGACCGAACACTCGACAAAATCAACGGGCCGCAATGTCCAAATAATGAAACCATTCCGGCACATAGCACTGATACACCATTTTTCCTTGTCAAACTGGGTCAGGATGACGCACTAGCGCAGAAGATGCATCACTATTTGGACAAGTTCTCACTCATTTCACTGTCCTTGTGTGTATGTTCTGATGCCGTCCCCTGCCTGTACGGCTGACCGCGCGATCGTTCTAAGGCTTTTTGTGAATGCAGTCTGCTGGATTATTCCTGAGACTGCGGCTGTGTGCCTAGAATAGCTTTTACTGGACCAGCATCCTAGGGCGAAATTGCCTCCAGTAATCTAATGTAGGTGGGTTGTTGTTGTTGCAGGCATGCTATGGAAATGTCACTGTTTTTTTCACTTGATAACTCAAGCTTACAGCTAATAATTCGCATTACTTGCGTTTATGATCTTATTATTTCAGAGTCTAATTCACGTATTATGATCATCCAGTTCAATGCCAGCCACTCTCTGATATCTTTTTCTGATTTATTGTGCATCTTGATTTTTCATCTGTGTTGTTGTTATCCATAAAGTGTTGAAAATACCAAACTCCCTTCCATGCTCGGCTAAAGTTCAGTTTGTTTGGCTGGAGCTGAAGTAAGAGCGGTCGAACACAAGCGTCTCTTACAACGGTAGGTTTTTGGCATAAAATTATGCATTGGCTGAGAGGATGTATATAGACGCATGTGCGTTGTGTATATTACCTTTGAGAATATATTTCTTAACAGTAAACATTCCCATTTCAGTTTACTTGTCTTTGTATCTCGTTTCATACTACAACTTGTTGAGTCGAAATGTATTTTCCGTCTTGGATACGTGAATTTCTGTAGACTGTACAATAAATCGTATCCCGCATTGAAGAGTTCTCATGGCAACGCTTAATTAAAGTTCTTATAATGCATTTGTTCGTGCCAGAAGCTTGGTATGTTGTTTCCAATTATTGAATGACAATTGATGATACAGACGTATATTCATACAGTTTAAGCTTAGGCAATGATCTAATATTTATGCATGCGATGTAAATTTGCAAACTCCACACACTATAGCAGTATTTCTTATTCATTTCAAGTCCACATTCATGTAGCTTAGTTGAATTTCCCTCTAAAACGTCTATTCAAGCATTTTATGATCAGCAGAAATAGTTCTTGGGAAAAACTTATCGCGATGTCAGATTCTGAGACAGTAGGTATATATAGAATTTCAGCGTCACGTGTACAAGTTCCGTTGGTTCATGCCGTCAATTCTGATCGTCGTTTTAAATCCTTCGCGATACTGCTTAATCTAGCCGATCACATGGGCTTTTTGGAATCCTAGCCACGCAAAACAAGGCACGTGCGTCGCAACAATGTCTGAACTGAAATGGTGCACCACTATATAAAAGAAATGTTCGTCAAATACTGAGCTGGGTCGCCGCGCGATTTTGGTTGAAGCGAAATTTTTAGAAAGCTCCAGCTCATGCCCAGCACAGGCTTTAACATAACATAGTAACATAACATAGTGATGTCGGCGCTGAAGTGTAGGCCTGATGTGTCCTGTCGCCGATTCTTTTCCTTTTCGTGCCTTGTTCATAGAAGATCTAAAATCGTGTCATTTGACCGGATCTTTTCATGACTGACGATAGTTTGAAGTAGCTACTAGACTTCCACAGGGTTCGATAAGGTTCGCAAAGTACATTGAATATTACGCAAAATTCGAGTTCAACAGGCCAACGACCGATGCGAAAAATACGAACTTTGGCCTGTAAAAAGAAATTGTGTTGCTATTGTTCCATACCAAAACATAGCCTGATTCAACAGCTCGCTAATTTGAGATCGAAAAGCCTGTTAATTCCGGACCACGCTATACATCGAACAGCATCGTCCATCTACGGCCCGGCCTTCAATTCTTCATCTCCCGACCTGAGATGTCAGACCATAAATTCTTGACGCAGCAGCTCGATACGCCAAACGTTATCTTGGCTTCAGTTACAGGAATGGTCACGATTATCGAACTCGTGGAATCATTATTATCATTATTAAGACTCACCATCAAGTCATCTGAGAATTATCACTTCCATTCGTCTTTAAAGGATTTTTAAACGTCTAGCGGCGTAATTATCTTCAGAACATTTTATAATAAATAGCCCAGTTGATCATTTGAAATCAATGGCCCTCAAACATAAAAAAGTATATTCAGAGTAGGGTTTTTTTTAATTATTCTGTTGGTTAGCTATATCAAAAGTCCCGTCCCCGAACTACTGCATAAAAAAACACTCAAACTAAATTTCAATGAAAATTACGTCACTGAGCCTCAAATTTTCAAAGGAAAGGACGTGATCCAGTTCTGGCAACGGATGTCCCTTCTCCTGAATTATTGCTGCAGGATATCCGTCTTCGTTATGATCTATGCACTGCCTGTCACCGCGATGTCTTCAGTTTCTGTTCATGGCAAAGAAAGAGATGGTCCCTTACGCCATTAGAAAGCCTTCTTGCCTCGTTGCTGGATTATTTACGAGTCGTTCCCGGGAGTGTTCATCTTGCTGTCTTGAAATTTTAAATTTTGATGGGAAAATTATAAGAAAAAATCACACCTCTGAAATTTCAGTAAAATAATTATGCCATAAATTGAATTCTTATTCCCATAATAATAAGGCTGTATTGATTTTTTAATAGACCTAACGTCGTCAACAATATTAATATTTTATCATTAGCAATCGACTCCTTAAATAAGTCTTGTTTCATTCAATATTTTCTAATCATTCCCTCTTCCCATAAAGTAGCTGCACAATTCGCATTTCACCTTCAGTAATTATTTAAGTCACCCAGCCTACAGCACACATCATGTACGCCACCCAGCCTACAACACACATCATGTACGCCATCCAGCCTACAGCAAACATCATGTACGCCACCCAGCCTACAGCAAACATCATTTACGCCACCCAGCCTACAGCACACATCATGTACGCCACCCAGTCTACAGCACACATCATGTACGTCACCCAGCCTACAGCAAACATCATGTACGCCACTCAGCCTGCAGCACACATCATGTACGCCACTCAGCCTACAACACACATCATGTACGCCACCCAGCCTACATCACACATCATGTACGCCACTCAGCCTACAGCACACATCATGTACGCCACCCAGCCTACAGCACACATCATGTACGCCTCCCAGCCTACAGCACACATCATGTACGTCACCCAGCCTACAGCACACATCATGTACGTCACCCAGCCTACAGCACACATCATGTACGCCACCCAGCCTACAGCACACATCATGTACGCCACCCAGCCTACAGCACACATCATGTACGCCACATAGCCTACATCACACATCATGTACGCCACCAGCCTACAGCTCACATCATGTACGCCACCCAGCCTACAGCACTCATCATTTGTCCGGGGCTCTCGAGTGCACCGCCAGTCATTAGTTGAGCGCTGTCCGGGGCTCTCGAGTGCACCGCCAGTCATTAGTTGAGCGCTGTCTTGGGCTCTCGAGTGCACCACCAGTCATTAGTTGAGCGCTGTCCAGGGCTCTCGAGTGCACCGCCAGTTGTTTTAACAATCTACACCGAATAATGTTCAGAGATACCTTTTCCATACATTTTGGAATATTTGACGATAATATTTCACATGGATTGCAATAGTGATAAATTGAGTACCAAAAAGTAATTTTTTTCGTGTACCGCTTGTGTTGACATTGTATCATTCTGAAATTTGCTACCAAGTGTGAATAAACGCTCAGAAATTTATAATTATGTCGACTTTTGCCCTCGAAATATGGAAATAAGTATTTTTATCCAAAACTTTTTCGTTTACGGTACAAAATGCGATATTTGGATACACGTTTAGCCCCTAAGTTCTCTTCCCGCCATGGGGTTTATAGCTAAAACACTGGCAAAATTTAAACGGTGAGTTGGTCGCAAATTTGGAAGACTTAACAGAAAATTTTTCAGTTAATTTTTGAAAAAATTTCAGTTAAATTTTTAAGTCGGTTGTATTATAGTATTCAATGCACGACAATTGAGAGCTGAAAGATAGGGGAGCGTACATTTATTCAACATAATTTCGTTTTCTTACCTCTACTTTCTCATTAAATTTTATCCAACCTCCGAACTAAACAGAGTAAAATTTTTCAATAATTTTCAGTTTACTTGTTAAAACGATAATTTTCGTTCACAAGGGAAGCGCGATTAATACGCCAGATTCCTATTTACTTACAGAAATTATATTTTGGCTTTCCACTACCGGTATCTCTTACGCGTTTCCCTAATATTTATAAAACCACTATTCTCACTTTTTCTGTTCATTTTTCCAGCTCTCTTCCACCGTGGATGAGATCAGCCACACATTCAAGAAATTCAAGTTTACGAGTTGGTAGTCCAGCGGCACCCGGCATCTGCTCTCAGACTGACTCCAACACAGGCCTACGGCCGGGCACTTCGGTTGCCAGTTCTCACCAGAAACCTAATCAGGCAACCGCCACCAGACGCTCAGGCCTCACGGCACTTGAACTGCTGCTATTTCCCAAGAAGAAAACCTCTCAAGTTCCCATGAGAAGACAACTTTCTAGGCGAGTTCCCCGAAAAGATTCACAGAGAAACCCATGGTTATCTCAAAATGTGTCTATCATATCTGCGCATCCTGAGCTGTCGATCCAATCGAGTGTTGACACGCAGACTTTTCTCCCCTGCCATGAAACACAGGCAGTTGACCGTAGAGAATCTGAAGAGAATTATGGGGCATCAGGTAAGCTCAAGTTTCGACTCTTGACCGGTTGTGGCTATCAATATAATGCTTGCTGGACGATATAAAATTAAATATTACGCCTGTTTTTCCGTGTGTCATTCATTAATATCGATTTGTATTTTTATTTCTTCAGCACTTGTAATCATTTTTGAAGTAAATATATTTAATTTGTTCACAATATTCACAATCTTTCCATTTTCACTGTTAATAACAACAAGAAAGTTGAAGGTAGTAGGGAAATACTTTGTTGTCTATGAACCACCGCTGGAAAACTAAAATAATCCTTGCACTTCTACTTTAATTTGGCCCATCTCATGTCACGATTTAAAATTTCATTTGAAAAGTTCTCATTTCAAGCCGCTTCATTATCAAATTATTATGATTTAATCTTGCATTATCTTAACAAGATGTTTCGCCCGTCCCATGTAGGTTTGACATTTTTCCAATTTCCCTGAACATTGTGACGTATTATCGTGCCTAAAGATATTCCTAAAGCTATTTCTGCAGTTGGGGAGATGAAACTACTCAATGATTGAAAATAAAAATTGCGGTCACGATAATAAAAAAACGGGTGAATTGTAAAACTCCCCAAATAAGTGTTTATTTTTTTATCTCTCACCAGCAGTTCGGTTGCCTTCTGTAACCCCAAGTTCGAGGCCGATAGAGCGCAACCCGCTGCGCCGCGTGTCGCGGTTGCTCACTGCCGCCGGTCCCGCCCTCGTCAGGAAAGTCTCAAGACTTGGTTCCTCTCATGCGACTGGTGAGTACCTTGCGACGTATTGGTGTGGGGCTTTTAATTCTACATCAATGTCTACAATAACGATGCTTGCACAAATAACCTCAAGGCAGCTACGAATTTAATTTGCTAGGCATTTGAAAACTGTGATGCAAGCGAAGCTGGCATCATTTAACTTTTCTTTCGGTATCATTCAACATTTCCATTGGTATTATTCAACATTTCGTTTATATCAACTTTAAATTTTACGGTCGACATTGCTGGAACCTTAGTTTTGGGTATTACCAAATTTAAAATAAAAATGTGTCGCTGAAGCTGATTTGTCGTGCTCCTTTGTTTGTGAATCGAAAATTCAAAGCACGAAAGGAAATTAATTTCACCATCCGTGTACAGATTCTGTACAAAGCTCCGTCGCAGATAAATTAAAACCTGATTTCATAAAACAGGTATTGCTAATGCAGGTTCAGCATATTTTGTTCTTTTTAATTTTTATCTTCAGGCTTTTGAGTTTAACCCGTTTGTCGGAGAGAGGTATATTATGCATGCATGAATTGTCAGTATTACGTTGACACACATGAGGGTTACTCGGTTCTAATTAGCTTCCCTAACCTTCTTTTGTTTCTACAGTTGACGACGGAGGTAAGATCTACTTGCCAGGTATAGTCATATATCGAGTGATGGTTCCTGCTCCAGTAATTTATTCCACTTTCATCTAATTATTCTTACCGATTATTCTAACACGTCTATAATTCCTGCTAACTAATCTGCACCCTGGTAAACTTTTGGCCCACAAAATTTTCAAAAAATTATACCTAGATCTTATCCTATTTATGGATAAGTGTTTTCCTCCTATTTATATCTCAATCCTGACTGTATAATTCAGTATTCTTTTAAGAGGAGTTTTACGAGCACTAACACCACAAGTTCTATTGCTTCATACATGCACTGAGCTCTTCGCACCGTAATAAAATGCATCGCTAAATGGACAATTTGCATTTTCGGTCCTGATATGCATTTTTCCGCCATATTCGTGAATTTATTGACTAAAATTTGCTTTCATGGTGTTATTTTTTTCAATGGTTTGAACCGTTTATCTCATTTGGAAAGCGCCCTCATGACACTTGCCACCAAGCTCTGCGCTCACGTAGTCGTCGTCACCTTGAAACTGTGAGCTTAGCGCTCACCTTGTCCATAATCGTCGTTATTGTATTTAAAAGAATTGTAATAAATAACGTTTTAAAATATTTTATCATTGCAATTACATTAGCAATTAGAGCATTTGAACGATATTTTTCATAGCTAGAACAAAATATTTCTAAGAACCGATGTAAAGAATATAATAACTAGGTATGAATGTATGATTATCTAATCTAATTTCATTAACAAATAGTTTATTGCAGTTTTTCGTGAGCAACTAAGTATTTGATGGCAATTTTTAAGCATCTAATTCAATCACAACACGATAGAAACGACGGAAATAACCTGAACGAAATAAAACAAAGTGCACATAATATATTGCGCGTGAATGTATCAATCTATCGTAGCTTCCGCTCAAGGGTATGTTTTCTAAATTTATTTCAAAGAAAACTCTGCCACACGAAGTATATCATCCGCCTTAACTCTACGGACTTGACTCCCAGTATTTAATTTACTCTGTCCCTATAAACATAATTAACAATTGATGTTGGGTGGCTCAGAGAATGATGGAAGTGGCTTATCTAAACTCCGGTTACCATAATAAACATTATTATCTACACTGTTATCCAGTTTTTTCATCACTTAAAACATCACTTGTTATTTATTGTGCTTCTAGTTAATAGCTTAGTCAATTGTCAATTTTAATGTCACTCAACAAAATAATTGTCACGCTGAAGGAAGTTTCAATTGATTCTGAAGAATACTATAACATATGAAATTTAAAGCATGTTTATCCTGCTACGTTCCATACATTGACTGCACACGACCGTTCTCTCATATCATTTCTAATTTTATGTATTTATTCGATGTACATTATAAATAGTCACCTTTACTCGTCCTGCGAGAGTATATACAGCATTAAATATGCATCACTTGAAGCTGACATGGCATCCACGGGTATTTTGAAAAGTCAAATGGAAAAAATTCAGTTATTGTTTACAAAGTATAAATATGTTGCTCAACGGCAAGTAAGATTAGGTGATTTGAATGAAGGATTTAAATAACAAAGAGTTATTTTCTTTCTTTAAACACGAGTTCTCCTTGAAGATCTTAGCCGCGTTCACACAATTAGGTAAACAAGCGTCATATTTTTGATGTTCCTTGCCTGCAATGAAGCTCAAACAAGCACTAATTTCATTATGTGAACGGGTAAATAGTTTGGCATCCTGGCATCCCATCACTTTTGGGACGAGTGCAATATTAGCGTTTACAAGCGTTCATTATCGAATGCAATATTTCAATTATTGCTCTCGAATAAATTATCTGTTGGCGTATTTTTTTGAATCACTATAATATTCACTAATGTTGAATTTAAAAGAAAATTTAGCCTCGATAATAAATTCACAAAAGGCCTATAAGGTCATAAATATTTTGAGGTCCCGGTACCAGGTGAAGAGTCCAAACTTTAAAGGGGATGTCACACGTCTGGCAGGACGCGCGAACAGGTATGTCGTTTGCAACACGTTCGTCGGCTCAGTGCTGCCTCGGTCGTTGGATAGAGAGGATGTGACTTCTTTGCTGCTCAGCTATTCTCACTGGCTACGCAAAAACTGGCCAATTCCCATAATAGTGATAATTGCTGCGATTTTTCAGCTCTAAACTTTTTTCTGCGGTTATATTTTCTTGATGGATATATAAATGAGTGGCTGATCGTTCCAAAACAATGATTAATTAACTATGGTGACTTTAACAATGCCGTTTTTATATTATTTTTTAACCCAAGTCAATGCCGTTCTAACAGTTCCAGTTTAGTCTTTTTAGTGCCAGCGAATGTCGTTACAATTTTCTACCTTTCTATAATTATTGATTTCTAAAACTATAATATTTTTTGACAATCTTGTTGACGGAAACAAACCTCGTGTGTGCCATCAAAGCTAGAAAAATCAATGGGTAGTATTGTCTAAATAATGACTCACTTTTTTACCAATGCACCAGCAATTAGCAGGCGTAGCACTATTACGCCCCTTGGCCGGGCAAAAATGGGTAATGAATACCCACAAAAAAATATATAAGGCTGAAGTGTATAGGTATTTTGAACATATCTCGCTCATTCTGTGAGTGTATGGTGAACTTACTTGCATTAACCCGCATCTGAATCGCTAGATTTTGTGATTGTAATTTTAACTCTTACTTACTCATCCGATCTAACACTCGTTTTACTCATCGTATCTCGGCATCAAAAAAATTTGCTTGCTTTTTTTCTTGCTTTTGCTAGGAAAATATATTTTTATTTACGTAGCTCTTTGCATTTTCAAATGGTCTATAACCCAAATTTTCCACTTTATTTTCTCATTAGCATATCGTTCGTTAGTTACATTATGGCTTCAATAAACTTAATTTTTCACTTTTTAATTTGTGTTGAGGGCCAGCGTGTTCGAAAATGAACTTCCCTGGCATTAGAATTTACGTTTTATAAAGCATCAAAGTATCTAGATGAATATATTTAGTTCATGACTTTTCACAGGCTTTCCGATAGGTTTCCAAATCATTGCGGATTAATTCAGTGAATGATAAATCCAAGTGTAGGATTTGGATCCGCCAAATGATTTAGTTCCTAAATCCTGCCGAGTTCTTGTGAAACGTGATCGCGCTGAAACATTAGAGGCGACATCTCTAATGAAACGTTATTGGCCCGCGCTGAGCTCTGAAATGTTCCAGTATCAGCGGCGAACTTCTGACTTGATTAACTCTACTCGGATCCTGTTCAGCCTCCGGATATTATTGAAATTAAATTTTCACATCTAATTTCTTTAATTAAGAAATTAATTTAAAAAGTTTTTCAACTTTAATTAAGAAATTTAATGAAGAGAGTTTATTCAAAATTTCAACATTACTAGACCTAGGAACCTGTTCTCTAGGATCGTAGTGAACACTTGTAATTAGGACATTATATCAATTCTATTTACACGTGCGTTTCTTTAGTTGCACTTTATTTCAATATGTCTCATAAATGTCGTCTCGTAAAATCCTTTTATTGTATTCTACAGTTTTATTACCAATTATTATACCAATTATTATCCTTTTATAATTCCGTCAAATATTTTGGACTACGTAATATTTCAAAATTAATATCGTACATCAGTTTTTTTTCCTTTTTAGTGCTTTATTATCAAATTATTTACCCGCATTAATGCATAATTCATAGAAACTCCTGTTAAATATTCATAATGTGAAGGTTTCCGTGGATTATTATATATATTAGCTCTGCCTCTTCAAGTAAAATTTTACACATCGTAATATTCGCGTTTTTTCCTATAAAATTAATATATTAATATAATAATATTATAGTGTTATTAGTATCGGTCTAGCCTAAATAACTCATCGAGATGGCTACGGCGAGGACCAATTAGGAGCTTCTTTGGCTTCAGATCGCGAAGATAAAATGTACAGTCTAGAATATTTTACAGTTTATAATTTATAATGTTATTATACAGTTCTAACGATTATATTCTATTTTATATTCTACATTTTTTAACGCCCTGCCGTATTCAGCTTATTTGAAATGCGGCAACACTCGAAAAATTATAAAACTAGTTCACATCTAGAGTCCACTTTCAGCCCACTTTCGTAAAATCGACTGAATCAGACTCAAAAATAGAGACACTCTCGGTCAACTGAATCAAGCTAAATTCTAGTTTATTCAAATAAAATATCCTTTCGCTTAAAACACATTAGGATTTTTTCGTTTGGCGTCCACATTTAGGCAATATTGAGCAAGTTCATAATTCTATCAGACGATTCCACGGCTTCTCCATTCATTTTTATATCCAAACCTCGTCCTCTCATGTTCACCATCAAACTTCATTGGGAGAACAATTCAATCAAAT